CATTCATCGACCTCTACGATGCTTTGTGGAATCGAGTGCATGGTGTACCACTGAAGGAATGAACAATGACCAATGCTTTATCCTTCATTCTTTATCTCTCTGTTCTCCAACCGTTATGCACATTACTATAGCAGGTAGAGGAAATATACTGTTTTCTTGCTGAGCAAACGTGGATTTATCGGCGACAAGATTTATTCAATACAATGCTGGTTAACGCTCCAGTGGTTACACCTTCTTCAGAGTCTGAAAGAGTCAAATTGACACGCAATCTGCTCAGTCTGAAACTATGGTAACCTCAGCAGACAAAACTTAATACACAAATGATTATTCGTGTAGTTGAACACCTTCTCTTAAACATTAATCGTTTTATAATGCTGAGATATTTGCAAAACTCCGGACCGCAGGTGTATGCGGTGGGGAACGAACGCGCTATTGTCCTTACCGAGGAGTAGCGCACTTCACCACCACACCATCCGGGTCCTTCGTTTTGTCTGTCTCTCAGCTAGTTCTATTGATCTTTTGCCATCAGCAATCACCCGTCAACGGGATTGATCTGGGGGGCCCAAATCGGCATTGAACCCAGTTAAGCTGAGGCTTAGTTATAATCACAACCTTAACCCTTTTATGTGGTGTGGTGGTGAAGTGCGCTATTCCCTGGTAAGGACAATAGCGCGTTCGTTCTCCACCGCATACACCTGCGGTCAGGAGTTTTGCAAATATCTCAGCATTATATACGAGTTATATTTCGTAACATAGCCTGCCATTAAAAAGAAAAAAAGGCAGTAAATAAAAGGGTTAAGATCAATCGTTTTGTTTTCTAAAATTGATTCAGTTGCTATTGGAGACCACCCACACAGAGTCCTACATGGGCGAGAGAGGTGCGTGGCTCAGATCAGAAGATTGATCTGAGATATGGCGCGAGATCACACGTATTCACAAAGCACTCCTCCTTGCAGGTCATTTTTGGACTTTTAGTGTTTATTCAAAAGGGTTCAACACTTTCACGCGTTGAAGTTTTAGGTTTCTGTTAGAGGCTTATGACACCTGATTCGAGAACTACTCCTCTATGTCTCCGTGTCCTATGTGCACTTAATGGAGGGTTTGACTTAAGTTTAAGTTTATCGACTAGGTGTTTTTTATAAGGACGTAGAATGCTGTATCTGTTTCGCCAATGTATTCGTCCCCATACGGTTTACAAGAGACCAGGTACACTGTATATGAACTCAGGCAGTCACCGTCTCCATGCTTAGGTCGTTAGGGAATATTATGCAATTTTAGGTTGTGCCAAGATTGTCATATAAGCGGATACGAACTAATTGGTGTCTTAAAGTGTTCGGTGATGTTCCAATCACTACTACCGGCTTCTCTATACTGGCTGTTTTAAGCAGAGCTTTGCAGCTGCTTTTATTTCGCTGAAAACGAAAGGTTGGATAGACGCGACTCTATTTTTGCTAGACACAGCGCTTGGGTGATTTTTTCTCCAAACCCTTCCCAAAAAGTTACCGTTTCGCAGCTGTTGGAAATGGCTATTTCACGAGCCACGTTCACAAATTCCTGATCTCTTCCCGTGTATACATTTGTTTCCGTCGGAAATATACTTCTCATAAGCGCCTTTTTTGTGTGTGAGGGCGGAGAGGACTGGTAGTAAACCTGTGCAATAAACTAAACTGTATTGTAATAACCTCATAGAAAGCGGCTCTGAGAAATGAGAAATTCACCGAAACGTTAGCTTGTTCTTGAAGAAGGAATAAAGTAACACTTCGTGTTTGCTCAAAAGGAACATAGAGAACACACCCGTGTGTTTTCGCTGCTTAGATCTCCGTTTTGTTCGATGATGTAGCTATTTCTGGATAGATTAATCTCAACAATGAAATGGAAGCTAATTTTCATTCAATTTCTCTCGGTTAAACTTAGTGTGCAATACTCTCAGTGTTCTGAAGCATGTACCCATCTCCTCGCGGATGGAGCAGATGACAAAATAATCATCTTTATATCTACAGTGAAGTAACAGCCGGAAGTATTAACCAGCTATTAGTTAATTAGATGAACGATGATGATAAATTCAAAATGAACGACCAAGATTACGATCGCATCTTGGCTTATCTTAATGTCAACTCTTTTGAAAGATAGAAGTGCTTGTTTAGAATAGCATGACATTTTCAGCTGTTCGTCGTCTTCCGAAGTCTTAACGGATTTCCACGTTCTATAATTGACCTCTGTTTCGGAAGATATCTAGTTTCATCTCTCACGCTACCATAAGGTTTTCGAGAGTATAAGAATATCTAAGCATCATTGTGGTTGTATCACACATAATACCCTGTCGTGAAAAATGGTAATAGGCAGTAAATTAAAAAGTTGTGTTTTAAGACTGTTTTGAAAATTTAGGAGTAATTGAACACTTCGTTTTAATACTAACGGATAGACATAAAAGGTCTCTAAAAGGGAAGTCGATTAAAACCTAAATGACGACTGACGACTCGAGGTTAGTATCTTAGTTGGCTCACCATCGCTCTATCTGCGCGGTTATGAGTAACCATGTAGCTGCATATATGAATAACTTGTGCTAAGTTGTGTTCGACGTTTGTTTGTTTAACAGTATATCGTATTCCACCCATTCTGTGTAGTATATGAGTTTGAAATTTTTGCGAAATAAATTTCAACGTTTTTGCGAACCAGTTGGCGCGAGAGTCTTTGAAATATTGAAGAGAAAATTTTTCTGTGTATGAAAAATGGCCGCTTAAAATGTCTTGGCAACTGTGATATTAGTATATAATGCTGAGATATTTGCAAAACTCCGGACCGCAGGTGTATGCGGTGGGGAACGAACGCACGCTATTGTCCTTTCCGGGGAGTAGCGCACTTCACCACCACACCATCCGGGTCCTTCGTTTTGCCTTTCTCTCAGCTAAGGCAGTGAATAAAAGGGTTAAGATTGTGATATTAGTTTTCAAACATTTTGTTATGAAATTTCTAGAAGTCTGGTTAGAAAGTGAGGTTAAATTATAGAAGCATCTATCTAGTAGTTGCCAGTAGAACAGAATTTTTCTAGTCAGCTGTTAGGGCCGAATAATCTCTAGCTCGAAATAGGATGCTCTACTTCAGACGAATTTACCACGTAAGACGTTTTCTAAAATTGTCACATACCAACTCCAAAACTTGGGTAACTAAGTCGTTTCTAACAATAACCCAATAATAAAGACTTGAAAATACCGAAACCAATACAAGCAAAAAAAACGATGATAGGATGAAGAAGCGAGGGTAAGAGGAAAGGCTAGAGGTTACAATTGATATAGAAAGTAACTCCGCCACAGGCTGTCGAAGTAAAATAATATACAAGTGTCGCATAGAACACAGCAATGACAATAGAGGAATTTAACACACGTGTGAGCTTGTATGCATTCGCCATGCATTCGACTTCGTTAAGCATCGTTTGGAGATGACTGAGATGATCTGGCCTTCACAATGACTTGTGGTGGCCTACTCATGTATCGAACCAGTGCAGCTATCCTCCCAGACAAGTATGTAACCAATTTGCTGACCCTGGAAGGATGGAAGGCTTGATGGGCCAGACGCGCGGCAATCGATCATGTCTGCTACAGGGCTTCTCCAACCACTGTACCTTAAGCGGCCTTATTGATAAAATAATGGTTCATAAAGCCTCCATTCTTGAAAAGGTAGCATTTGGCGAAGCTTCTGGCTCTCGCAAAAACTACATGCCGACAGTCACGTAGGACAAAAAGGCTGGTTTTTATAAAGAACGTGTTACGTTATGCGAGAAGCTCTGGACAAAGCAGGATAAAGCTCGCCTCGGACAAGGTGGTTAGCGACAAAGGCTGTTTAAATCACAGGAATGTTTATCAGATTAACATACGAAGGCGTGCGATAAAATTTAATCTCATTGGCACGGAAAAGTTTACAAAGAAATTTAGACTGCCAGGTTGCTAAACGATCTGAACCGAAGCTAAATGGAGTTAATACTTACTTATTTATATATTCAGATAACCCGTCATCACTAGTTGTGCCGGCCACAGCATAATTTCTTTTTTGCCACGCATTTACTGGCTTAGCCATTGTGGTTCCTTGGAATCCCGAGCTCAGTCTAACCAAAGTCTGCGCCACTTTGTCGCCACCACAAGCAGTTCCCGCTTTTGTGGATCAGAGAGAGATTGGCCACCATGCGACTAGTTTGATACCAGGACAGTGGTGATTCTTGTTATCAGTTTACTCTTAGCTGGGTTTCTTGATGGAAACGTAGGACTCCTTCTCAACTTGGGAGATCCTGGTGCGGGATGGGCCGCTGCTGTACATGGAAGCCCGACAAGCATGATGACTTGCAGCCGCGGTGTGGTTGTAAACCTTTTAGAGGAATAAACCACAAAACAACTATTAAATGCAACAGCAACCAAGCCGGTTGGCTCCATTGACCATGACTTCACCCACTTTCTTCGACATGTCCCGAACTGCTTCTACTTTTTTAATGTATTTAATAGTCAACCTAATTAGCATAGGAACATTAGGTAACATAAAAAATAAAAATCTTTCATTAAAATAATTTTGCAACATATAAGTGTTATCGAAAATATTATTCAAAGATAATATTCCACTGTCATTTTTCCGTTTTCGTCAGTTACGGATTGGCCAAGGAACGCGTGCGGCGCAGTGGTCGAAGGTGCCCCGCAATGGACATGATCGATTCCCGCGTCCCTGGCCCATCAAGCCTTCCATCCTTCCGGGGTCAGCAAATTGGTTACATACTTGTCTGGAAGGTTAGCTTTACTGGTTTGATACATGGGTAGGGCACCGTAAGTCATTGTGAAGGCCAGATCATCTCAGTCATCTTCAAACGATGCTTAACGAAGTCGAATGCATTTCATTTCTCAGGGATTGATCAGCGCCGAGAGCCTTATCTTTTATTATTTTTGTGGATTGGACACCCATTGGACGTTCCTTATTTAACTGTATAAAGGATAAAGCGTTCGGCATTGATTAATCACAGAAGGATGCGCCATGCATCTAACTCCATTCGTCGCATTAAAGAAGTGACTGAAGTCATTACCGCAGACAAGGCTGGTACCAAATTGCAAACACCGAAAGGCTGAAAGTCTTGGTGGACTCAGGGAGTGGGATTGAAACAACGTTGAACGACGTATCGCAGGGTACCTCTAACCATTGCGCTATACGCGCTCCATGTTTAATTATCCATCTTTTCATAGGCCTTATTCGTCAAGTATGTCCGAACTTTAGTCGAGTAACTCTAGCCATTACCAGTAAACTCTATCTGTAAAAACCCTACAACGAGCTTCTAGAATTTTGTCTGTAAGGAGCTTTATTTGCAGCTATCATACTATTTTTGCGAAGTAATAAGGACTTGTTTTCTTAGTCTTCTAAAAATCGGTGTACAGACCACTTTGACCCCTAATGAAAAGTTGTTCCGCATATTGGAACAAGCGTTTCATTCCCAGCACTGTTTATTGTGTTCTATAAACCTTATTTTATGTTGAATCCATTATCTAATTAGTAAATATTGCAAGAATACTTCACATGAATATTAATTTCAGTGCCCACGGTATTCCACGGGCATACGTATCTCAAGGATTGCGACGAACTCTATGGTTGTTACTCTTCCTTTTTTGCTTCTGTGCTTTCGGTTATCAGGCGTACCTTATTGTTCTCAGATTTCGCAGGTAGGCGATAGTTGGGTTTTTTCTATGGAGCTCAACTAGTCAGACTTTCGTATAGAAGAGTCATTTCGAATCCAACTCGTTTTTCCATGCACGGTTAAAACGGGTCATGAATTGTATATCATTTTTTAAGGATGATGAACTCTTCATACTATTTTCTAAAGAGAAATGATAAACGTGGTGGATACTGTTCGTACTATCTTGTATCGAGATGGATTGCTCTTTGTATGGAGAATTTACTTTCTATAGAAGTTGTTCTAGAAACGACATAATCGTTGGTGTTGAGATTAAATTCGAGGAAATTCGTTTCCCTGCTGTTACTATATGCAATATAAATCCATATAAAAATTCTCTAGCACGTCAGGCGGCTTCGATTAAAAACGCGGTGAGTCCGGTCGCGTTCGAAATGCCATAACCAGGTCTTATTTGCGGCACTCTTGACTATCGCAGCCATCCGCACCCTCCGCATATTTCAGCTCGAGTCGTTCGAATTCGCGATTGATCGCAGTAGTGGAAGTGAAATCTCACAAGCGGAGCGAAAAAAGCGGTACTTCACTGGTAAGCGCCAATTACCGAATTCCAACCAGGACCATACTTCTATTCAGATCGAGTACTGTACCTTCCATAAAATCAGCTTACGTCTATTGCCGGATGAGCAATAATCATTATACGGTCGATCCAAACGGAGAGGAACAATGTGTACCGTAATATCATGTCTTCGTTCTCAAATATTTATGGTGACACTCGATATTTCAGGTGTGTTCAACGTTTCTGAACGAAGAGTACTACTGGAATTGTGCTCCGGAGAAGGAATATCAGATTCGAATTTGTCCCAATGACACCAGAATCGAATCACCTAGCCTTTGTTACTGTCAAACAGGTTTTTGTATCGAAGCGGAAAACCAAGTAAAGGTAAAAAGTTCTGGGATCAGATATACCTTACGGTCGATCTATCGACTGGTCAGTATATTACTCCTGAGAAGTATTGTATGCTATGCATATATGTGGACAAAATAGAAGAAGTGCAGTGCATCCACTTTTCCTTTGCAGAGATTTCCTTGATTCGTAGAACTCTCTTACCGCGCTTTTCCTACTCGATCGATAGCTTATCCAATGCAGCTGTTATCTCAAGTACAGCCTCATGAAAATCTGCTTTCGCATTCAATAATTTATAAAAACATTTCGGATGAGTTCAATGCTCATTGATTCAACTAGGAATTGACTTTTATTCTATTCTAATCTCTTTGGCGAATCAAGGTTGCCGAAAGGAGGAGTGAGTACCGAAAATGCAAACGCGGACTTAGCACAAACTGCAAAACGCTTCCACGTGCTGGTAGTAGTGTCGTTGCGTGGTGGATCATAATAACATGTAGTAAATAGTAACCTGTGTAGAACACAGCACTAAAGCGACAAAGTAACGCCTGTTTTATAATTCTACTCTGTGCTCTGTTTCCTGCCATCCAAGTGCTCTATTAATCGAAAAATTACCATTTGTTCTGCGGAAAACAGGAAGGTCGTAACCAACACGAAATAAAATGTGGTCCTAAGTGGCAAGTACTCAGATTTGAGTATCAAGCAATATGTGTTAAGCCGCAATGTTCAGGTCATAGGCCGATGGCCACTAGCCCTATCAGTGGTGGAGTGTGATAATTCTTCTAGCTGCATGTGCGTTCTTCCACACATTGCCGATGCGTCGATGACGTCTGCATCGTATTGCGCGAAAATTTCGGACTGGCAATTGGCAATGTGTAGCGGATGCGACTGGTGGGGGAGGTAAGTGTTTGTTCTCATTTTCGGTGCTAAACATTTTATTCATTTCCCCTTTTCTACTTCTCAAAGCCATTTATTTGCTTCCTTCGACCCTTTAGGTCTTGTTCCAGCAAAAATTTATAAGTTGCTTTTGTGCGAGTTAACGAAGTAGGAAATGCTTCTGCTTTTTGTCACGCGGGCTTTTTGTTGATACTTTAGTTCGAACCTCTAACTCGGGCAAGTAACTATATGTGAGCAATGCAAAAATAACAACATTACGAGATTAACGGATGCAAATTTAGGTAAGGACGAAATAGTCTTGATATATCAGCGATAGGAATGGTATGTGCAGAACACACTAATCAGATTAATGCTGCTTCTGTGAATAAAGACCTCAAGAATTGAATCATTTACATCACGTAGAAATCAAGATGGAGGTAGAGAATGTAAAAACAGTATCCCGGCCAGTGGAAATCAGTAGATGAGCGTTGTTTCTATTTTGTTGTAGACGGAGTTAGCACAGTGAGGCCTAAGAGCTTCTCAGCTAGTGCAGCAATATGATAGAATTGATTTACTACGCCGAAGTAGATGAGACAGAGGGGTCCTCCCAAAATAGATAATTCCATGGTATTACAATAATCGCGTTCGCAATAAGTATGTGAATAGATACAGAACATTCATTTTTGAGGTAGGGTATAACATGTAGCAGGTCTGCAGAAACCTATCATGGTATGAGGTGATATAACTATCTATGAGGTGGAGAATAGTCACTAAAGACTTTAAATGGAGAAAAAAGTATTGATGAATAGATCTGAAAGTTCAGAGTTGAAGTAAAGGTAGGGCTCTGATAACTAAGCTCCTAGGTGCATATCCGATTCTCCTTTTCAAGTTTTTTCTTAGTTTTTTTCCTATCTGCCGTGTGTTTCTATCTATAAAGGGAGTACGGTGTGCATGTTTTTATTCAGTGACCATTGATGACTAGTGACTTTATTGAGTGACTTTCACGGCACCATTTTATATGAAAAACAACCACAATGATGCTGAGACATTTGCAAAACTTAACCCCAGAGCAGATCGAACAGCGATTGCCCTTTCCGGGAGCTTACGTGTTGCGCACGGAACCACTGAGGCCTTCTGCTTTTTTCTCACCCAGTGTTTTTATCGTAATGGTCGCATCAGCAATCACCCGTCAAAACGAATGGTCTGGGAAGCACAAATCGGCATTGAACCCAGTTAAGCTGAGGATGCAGTCGAAATCACAACCCATAACTTTTCACTTATTGCCTATCATTTTTTATGGCATGATAATACATGGAATACAACTACAATGGTGATGAGACATTTGCTGATGAGATGTTTGCAAAACTCAAACGCCAGGTCAGATTCGAACGCCAAATTGCCCTTTCTGAAGAACATAAAGGAAGCAGTTACAAATTCGCTTACAACAGCGAGATTCTGATTGGCTTAAAATTGTGCGCTGAAAAGGCAGCCTGCAGTGTTGAAGTGTAAATGTGTAGAATAACTGAAGTGTTTAAGATGTACGCGATCGTTCGGTCCGTCCGGTGCCGAAGAATGTGTTTGCGATGCCGGTTCCCATACAAGCTGCTTTGCCGTTGAGTCGAGTAATGAGGATCACGACGGAGATATCAGCAACAGACAGCATGTGAGTTTTGTTAGCACTAGTTTTTTAATTACGCTCAAACTGCACAGGTTATCTCATCTCTCTTTTTGACAACGTTCGAGAGATTTATTGGTTGGTCTATTTTGAACTTTTTTTTGAATAGAAGATTTTCTGATCCCAACCAAACGTCTTCTTCAGAGTGTGAAATGGTTATTTTTACAAGGAACTCAATCGAATGATTTTTTGGAAACATCCTTGTGAGGTCGTTAAGAGTATGTTGGGCTCAGATTGTTGTAAGACATTCTGAGTATGATACCTCGATAAATATTTAACTGAAAAGTTTATAGAGACCTTCCAGTTGTAATCTTACATGTGCAACTTGTGTCTCCTGCAACTTTTGATTTTGACAAGTAGTTATAATGAATATATGCCATTTTCAGTTAGATGCTAATCATAGTAAATAAAAGATGCAAGGTGCCACCATGCTTTTGATTTTATAAGCATCGTAGGGTGATTAAATGCATATCTGACTCATACGATGAGCGGCGAGATCCTAACGAAGTTTCAAGTCAATATTTTTATCCTCTATAACGAATCTACCCCAGAAGAACGAGCAGCTTTATCAGATCAAGACGGAGGATCGCACGACCAACGACCGTGTCTGTTTTGTAGAACACCTCATACCACCGCGCTATAAGTACAAATGATAGCACTGCATTTAGTCAGAGCGCATCTTTTCTGCATAACATCTTCATTGCATTCTGAATGTATTTCTGCTTAATTCCTTTTTTTCCTCCATTGCTTATTCTCCTCATTTTGACGGTCATATGAATCTGCTTCAGTTTACCCTAATTTTTTAAAAATATTTCAGACCACGAGATATTCTCCACATCTCTTCGAACTTTAGCAAAAAGTGAGTAGAGTTATATTTCAACTGTTTTAAATGACATTCTTATTTTCCAGGTTAGGGTTCGTCGAGGTAAGAAACGTATTTATGAGAAGATTCTCAGCCAACATGAAGGCATTCTAGCAGCATATTCGATGTGTGAATGCAATCCAGCTCACGGATGCTTTTTCATCAGTGAGAAGGTAAGTAGGTTGTTACGAGCTCTAGAAACACATTTCGGTACGGGGTTTTGCACTACACATTTAAATAGCGAGGTAAGTAACTGGAAGACTGTCGAAGGGGGAATTTTACTAGGTGCAAATAGAGTGACACAATACCACCACTCCTGGCCTTCTGTTTCATTCTCAAACGACTCCACCGCTCTTTTGAATGAATATCATATGATTCTCTTTGCTTCGCGAGTTTCGATACTTAAAGGGTAGAAGAAGGAACGATAACAGTTCGATGCCACACGTGAGCAGCGCAATCTTAGAGAGATCTTGTCACCATCTGTTTTTACTCTTCCTTATAGACACATGAGTCTATAAAAGGAACCTCTTGGAAATTCTAATCTCCGTATTGGACGCACCATGAGCCAACGTGGCTCCTTTATCGTCTCGGATTAGCAGGTTGGTACCAGATTTGTCCAGAGAAAGCTTTTCGATCCATAAAAGACGGCGGTTACCCCAGGTGAGTAGCTGGGAACGTTCTAGCACAGCTATACGAGCACTCCATAGAAAATAACCGGAGCCCTCAACTAGTAGTTCACACGGGAATTTCAACATCTTTATGAATGAGGGGACGCGTGCAGCCCAGTGGTCGAAGGAGCCCTGCAGGACACATGGGATCAGTCCCTGCGCCTAGGGCGCGCCAAGCTTCCATCCCTCCGTGGTCGGCAAATTGGTGCCAGACATGTCTGGAAGGATAACAACACTGGCTTGATACGTCTGTTGGTCACTGCAAGTCACTGTAAATGCCAGATATGCATTCAATCACCTCCAACGATGCTTAGAAAAGTTGGTTATGTGGCTCATCTCTCAGGGATAGATCAACGCCGAGAGCTCGACCCTTTTATTTATGGATAAGGTATTCATGAACCGGAAAAGGTCTTTAATAGGTACAACATCTGATGATGGGTCACACAGATAAGTAATTAAGTAGACAAATCGCAGAGGCGGGTAACGCAGTAGCAGTAATGCCAATCACTACGGTGATAGTTCAACCTTGCACCGGACTCACCAAGCGTGCCATCCTTCCGGGGACTGAAAAGTGGTACAAGAGTCGTCTGACAAGTGTTCACTCTACAATCCAGGTGGGAACACTCTACTTCGACTGTCTCATGATTCAAGGGAGATTCGACTCGATCAGCATTCAAAGACATTCATAACAGAACGAAAATCCTCAAGCAGCAGCCGAACCCACAACCAAAAGTTGGGAGCTCTTCGTACATGATGGATCCGAGAAAACGAGCTGACTACAAGAAGTGCTGGGATCCACACACATGATGTGGATAACGAGTCCTATAAGGAAAGAAAGTAAGTGGTAGACGAATGAGTTAGGGTCAAATTGTGTAGGAATTACTTTAGATGAGCAAAATAGGGAAATCGAAGTAGATTTTGCTCATTTGTACACTTTTGTTCTGTCACGACCATTGTATTTCACTGTGGTCGAAGAAAAGGGTTAGATATTTCCATACGGAGTTTTAGTCGAGATTGCTAAACAATTTTAAAAAGTTTTCACAGATTGATACAGAAGAGCTTGAGTGAACAAAAGCACGAGAAAGCGACTTGTGAGTTATATGAGAAGAGTTCGGATAATAAACTTCGATGCTTTTCTCGATAATTCTAACAGAGAACAGATAGGAACTCCATAGTTTCAGTGCCTTTGATGATCGTATTTCAGTATGTCACCAATAATTCCTCTCCATGTGTCTGCTTCTACAACAAAAACAATGACCAGGTATGGCCGTGCTATCGCCAAGAAGAATGGGAGGAACGAAAATGCTCAAGGTGGGAAAGCAGAATTCGCCAATGTTTTTAAAGCTTTCACATGTAAAATTCACGAGGATTTTCGCCTTGTGATCTCTATAAGAAAAAAGTACGTAGGAAAATACTAGGGAAACAGAAACGAAAGCAAATAAGTAGATTACAGATTTAGTTACTGATGGTTCCAGAGTTTGTGATTTTTATATTCTGTTCGTTTTCTCTCGTCACTCTTTTTTTTTGTCGTTTCCTATTTTATCATTTTACGCTTAAATCCGTCAATATTAGCAAGTATCACTCTTCTAAAAAATGACAGCCTGTGCAAATAAGTTTATCTTCAGCTAGTGCACTACTTGGATATTTGGACTGCCCGTCCTCACTAGTTGTAAGAGCCATAGCATAATCTCCATTTTTCGGAGTTTTGCTGGTTTGGCCATTGTGTTTTCCTCGAACCCCGAGGTCAGCCTGGCCAAAGTTTGTCCCAGGTCTTCACCACCACAGGCAGTCGCCGCCATTGTGGGTCAGAGAGAGATTTGCCATCATACAACTAGTTTGATGCCGGAATGGAGGTGGATCCTGGTATGAGTTTACTCTTAGCTGAGCTCTCTGGTGGAAACATCGGACTCCATCTCAGCTTGGGAGACCCTGCTGGGGGAATGAATTCCCCCACTATACATCGCAGCTCAACACCCAAGAACACATTCCCAACCATGATGAGGCGGTAAGCCGCTGGAAGGCAGCTAGCGAATTTCTAAGCCAAACTTTAAATCTGTTTTACAGATATGATTGAAGAAAAAATTCGCTCTCTGAAATCTACAAAATCGGTAAACTGTCTGTGAAAAGAACCTGAAAGGGACTGAGCGCCTGCTTTTCCAGAGCACTCTAATTAGTGTCGACCAGCTTTCAACTCCTTTTAGAGAAGACCGAAATCCTCAAGCAGCAGCCAAGTCTACATGTGAAATACGAAAATCTGTCCATAGGGAATGGATACGAAGAAATACGTAGTATCCTAGAATTTCTGAGACGTTAAGTAGAACAGACAAATAGACAAAATTCATATTTATTCACATGATCTAATAAACTGATCTTGTTGAGCCGATGGAGGTTGGTATAGGTCTTCGTTGTCGTTGTTGTTATTGTTGTTGTCGTTGCTGCAGGTATTGTTGGTCGATGGCTAACGTTTCGGCGATTTCGCCTTCCTCAGAACAGTGCTGTAACCAGTGGACACCATTTCAGCCATCGACCAACAACACCAACAACGACAACGACAGCGAAGGCCTATACCAACCTCTCATCGGCTCAACAAGATTAGTTTATATGATCATATAAATAAATATATCAATTATTTATGCTGAGGTTTACAGAAAATCGGTCTTTTGAGACAAAATTCACTTTTTCACTTCTAGCAAATATTTTAAAGCGATTTATTGGGATTCTTTCAAATAACTACACAAGTACGGAAAACCAGTATATCTGCTTCGTTCGATATGAGTACAACCTAAATAAGACGATCTTCTTCAGCAAGGTAGTCCTTCCTTCGTTAATGAAATACAGATCAAAGGGACTGCTGTTGTAGATGACGACTTGTTAGAGATTTTAGATAAGCGCGATAGAGTTTGGGCAATATGCTAGCACTATTCAAATTCCTATAAAAGTTCCACATTTTCATAAGGAGAATCGCTACTTGGAAGACTTTGAGCAAAAATGAGTTTTCAGTGCTAAAACATATTCGATATTTTAGGTGCAATTCGTTCGGTGATTGTCACTTTTCCATCTCCCAGGAAGGTGCACTTTACGACTGCTTCTGTGCGATGCCGATCCGAATGTGTGTCCGGATCGATCCGTCTGAAGGAAACTTCACTGTTTTAAGTGAGTTTTGTTACATGCTTCAAAGTATCTCCATCAAATGTAACCATGCTCGTACCAAAATGATCGTACTGTTAAATGTGGGCATAAGTTTTGTTTCAAAGTCCCTGAAAGAGTCTTGTGCTTATCACTCGTAAATTAATTTTTTACGTACATCAACAAAGAAGGGATTAATTATCTGATTAAAAAAAACAGTTGACAAATTTCAGAGGTGCGCAAAAACTACTCTTAATGGTTCAGTTCCTCATTACGCCAGCATGCCCTTGTGTCAAAGTACACTAGCCTACGACAGAGCGTAATAGAAATACGTTAGAAACTACATAATTGGAAACTTGGATAACCTATCTTTACTGGTAGTGCAGGCCCCAGCATAATTTCCTTTCATTTCTGCCTGTCGCAATCGTCGTCCGTCGTCGTAGTCCGGCTCGGAAGTGATGACATCCGCGATGCCCATTCCACAGTCCTGAAATCGCAGATATCCAATATGTCCAATCGCAATATCTGCACACACAGACGGTTGCCCTTTTCCAAGAACACGTCCATCCATCGCTTGGGTGGTCTTCCAGGAGTACAGTTGCATTCTCTTGGAGTTCACTGCACAATCCTTTTCGTCCATTTGTCATCTGTTGTTCTTATTACATGACCGGCTCAACTGTGCCTCGAAAATGAGACAATTTTCGCAGATCTGTGATGCGTCTTCCCGCCAGACCTTGTGATTTTCTGTTAAACTTCGGAAGACATAGTTCAAGTGCTCTATGAGCGGTGCACAAATTTCTTACTTCCTTTTTTCGCAGGGCTGTGCGTTTTTTCAAGCTACCTATCGCAACTCGACGAACTTCAGAGGATAGAATCCCGAGCGGTTCCTCACTATTGAAAATTTCGAGGTCCTAGACAGTGATCTTGGGGCGGAAAAAATTGGCATAAAACCCTTCCGTTATCAAATCCGTATCGGGGCAGGATGTAGTGATCATAGCCCCATCTTCATTCATCAGGCCGTTCAGTGGAACATAACAGTCGCAAAGCTCCCGACAGTACTTTTTCAGTCTGGATCGGTTTTGAACTGCTTCTAATGATACGTTTTCTGCCTGTACCGATGTAAATCCTCATAAAAATCAAAATTTTTGAAGGCAACGTCGTAGTGTCCATTCGCTGATATTTCCTTGCTCCATGCCTCATTAATGTTTGTATTTCTGCAGTAATTCACTGTTTTCTTGATGAGCAAAGACGACACTGTTTTTCCAACTTTTATTTATTAACAATAGCAGACGTTTAAGCAATTTTGCCATCTTCGGGGCCTGGAAAGCTCAAATGGACACGCAACTTACTCATCCATTTACATTCATAACCTCAGCAAACAAACCTGAAGACAAATTTGATCCGCGTAGTTAAGAGCGTCTTTTAAACATCTACCGTTTTAACGTATTATTTACTGCCTATTCTTTTTAACGGCAGGGTATACATTGTGAAATATAACTTCAATGTTTAACGTTTTGTTTTCTGCCTTCTATAATTTTCATGGCAGGTCACTAAGCGAAATACAACCACAACGTTGCTGAGATATTTGCAAAACTCTGGACCGCAGGTGTCTAGGGTGCGGAACGAACACGCGCTGTTGTCCTTACCGGGTAGCAGCGCATTTCACCACCACACCATCCGGGTCCTTCCATCAGCAATCATCCGTCAAAAGACGGCAAAGGATCGATAGAACTAGCTGAGAGACACGCAGTACGAAGGACCCAGATGGTGTGGTGGTGAAGTGCGCTGCTCCCCGGTAAGGACGACAGCGCGTGTTCGTTCTCCACCGCATACACTTGCGGTCCGGAGTTTTGCAAATATCTCAGCATCATTGAAATTACATTTACCGTTTTGTTGCATGCAAGTCACTCAATTATTTGTTGGAGACTAGTCGCACAGAGCCACTACGTAGACGGGGAGGATGTGCCTGACTCAGGTCAAGGAGTCAACCTGAGTTATGACTCAGGTCGAGCGTGGTCATACGGTGCACCTCTTTGGTGTATGAGGGTGAAACCGCCGAAACGTCAGCTGTTGTGAATAAATAAATAGTGCAATGGCAACCTCATATTTGTGATCAAGGAAGACGGTGTACTGTATTCTATCTGTAGAAAATGAAAGGGCATAAGACAAAAATAATGAAAATACAAATCGTGCCTTAACTTCCCAACAGCCTTACATCACAAGTTCTCTGCAGTATAGACTGAGTGTATAATTTGCCATTAGTGATAAATTTCATCTCAGGATCCGTTTGTGTAATATTTATTAAAAACATTACTATCTACACGTGTGCTATTCCTCTGTGCTTAAAAAATTCATTTTGCTGTGAGGATAAATATATTCTGCCAAGCAGAAGTTTCTAAAAGAGTACATTTTCTCAGGACCGACTTTCTTTTGATCTCGGAATTGATTAATAACCTATTATTTTTCTTGAACAGCGAAACGAGATTGTTCAAACAGCATTTATTAGCACGCAATAGCTGATGTTTAGCACAAGCACATTTTCACATAAAAGAGTGCCAATAAAAATGCTATTCGTTTGAAGAGAGAGAAAGAGTCGGTATAGTCGATTTTTAATAAGTGTTGGAATAAGTCTACTGTCTTAGCTGATCGAATCGTGAGGGTGTGGGATATCCTGCCGACGACCACTCCATCACCATCTCAGAAGAAGCAGAAAGATCGTGAGAAGGCATACGGATATACGGTATGCGAAAAAATTTCCAACTTTTCAATAGTTTAATTTTTTTGGACAATCAGTCCGTCACATCTGCTGTGCAGATATCAGTACTTCTCACATTCCATTTATTTACTCGCATCCATCATTCATCGTCCACGAAGGTTTTCCAATATTATATGTGTCTCCAGCTGCCACTTGAGGGTTTGACTTTCATCTTCAACGTCAAAAAATCTAATCGAGTCGGTTCTCCCTGGAGCTCTGAGATAGCCGAGCCAGAGCGATCTCGCTTGGATTGAAGAGAGTGATTTTTCCCGGACGAGCTTGGTACCACTTTCCCGACACTGAAGGGATGAGAAGCTTGGTGAGACCGAAGAACGAGAACGAACCAACAACGTGCTCATGATGGTCGACATCACGACCAGCGTGCTATGCACCCCAAATAGAAGCAATAGCTTAATAGATTCTTGAGCATGAAAAGCAAAGTCGAGTTTTCGTTTCAGTGTTTGCTTTTCCTACTATTAAGATAAGAGCCATTCACATACCTTTTTTCCAACGGAACCAGTAGTCTGCTCTCAGAGCACGAGATGTTGTTTTGAAAGTTTACCTTTAAATTTTAGAGAAATCATACTTAAATTCTTACAGATTTCATAACATCGTCGTGATTTCATGACGAGAACGAAGATGGTGACCAATATTGAAGCATATTCTTTAAAGTGAAATAATTTGGTGTAGATACATAGTAGTCGGTATGAGGTGTTAATGTAAAGGCTTTACTATCTAAGGTAACTAAAGTCTTCAACTTTATTTTTCGTTCTTCGGGTTATTCGCTTCAACCTTCACAAATATTACGGTTATAGTCTAAGAAGGCAAGTGTATTGACCCGATCACAGAGTGCTTAATTAAAAGTGACTTCCGTAGGGATAAAGTTAGTGGGAGATAAGTGGATTCTCTTAGTAAGTTTTTAGTGTTTTTAGGGCGTCACAGATCCGATTGCGTTGAAAGGAAAAGCAATGGAGAATATCATTTTCGCTGTGGATCAACTGACAGAGGCGGAAAAGTGGGCGATAAGCTATAAAAAATCCGAGCTCATCACCAAGTGCTCATTCAACGGCAAAGAATGCAAAGTTGATGAGTGAGCCATTGTTCCTAGAATTTTTCATCGTTATTCTATTTCTTTATCAAAACAAGAAAAAAGGAACGGTCTACTTGAGCTGAAATTAGCTATGGGAACTCTCTTACACAAAAACTAATCGCCCGCTTCATTCCGAACTTTATTTCTTAAGTGACATTCTGTTTCGTTAAGGACGTATCTGAAATGGAACAGAAGTTCCGCAGTAGCTAGAGTCTTGGCTGACAACCGCTTCATCAAATTAACGCTCTATGATGTTGTGTGTGGTGTACTCATAATGTGGTCACTACCAAGTTTTTTAGCTAGGCAGGTAGAATTCGAAAGTTATGTAAAGTTACCATCATTCATATTTTATCGCCATACATAACTTTTATCTACTGCTCATTATTTCTTTTACGGCAAGGTATTGTGTGAAATGCAACCACATTGACGCTAAGGTATTTGCAAAACTTGGGCTCCAGGCCAATGATTTATCCACTCTTCTAAAGAATTTTGAAATGACCCGACATCATATTTGCTTCATATCATAGCACTTCTTCATTCGGTTCATTGAATTGCATTTGTCGTAGATGAATGCCTTCGTATTTTAAGTGTGGGTTCGACTACCATGTGAGGATTTTGTCTCCTTTATGAGTGTCGTTAGGCTAGGTTTTTAGATCGGTGGAATAGACATGTCTGGTAGCAATGCTCGACCCCGGACGGATGAGAAAATGGGGAACTTGGTTGGTCCGGTGGGTAGTCGGTGTTGCGCTTGTATTAATGCACGACGTTGTAAAATAGTCCACATTCTTTCCCAGCAGCATTTTTTTTCTATAGCAGTGATTACTCCTAGTGCTGTATTAATTGGTACTAACTTCACCGATGCATTGAATATATGAATTATGGATTATTGATTACATGGGCTTGAATGGGAGAATGGTAACACTTCTAAAAGTGAGCATGATCTCCAGAAAATCATAGCGACCTGTTGCATTGCCCCAAGTTTTCAAAAACAATTCTTAAGTTTTAATCTTAACTCTTTTATTTACTGCCTTTTTCTTCTTAATGGCAGGGTATATTTCACAACATGGTTAAGTTTTAATCGTTTCTACGAATTCAGCTGCTTCTTTCTAAAAAAGCTTTTCAAAGCACCTACGCTACACAATAGCTAACATTACTTTCTGGTAATTAGGAATCAATGGAACTGTTTCCTGCTATTTTTATTTTACCTTCGAAATTACGTAGATTGCACTTTGACTTTATCTGCAGTGCAAAGGAACATTTTGCTTCTTGGTTCGGGTCAGAGTGACAAAACCATCCATTTAAATAAAACAGCTCGATTATTAAGAAAATTACTACGTTGATTGTAGCGATTTTCATTCGTATCTGGATCCAACGTACGGTGCTTGCTTCACTTACGTAGGAAATCAATCAGCAAACCTCGTCAGCGAAAGGTCCGGACCAGCATATGGTTTGTTTTATTGGTTAGCCGAATTTCAAATGGCTCACTACGATTAAAAAAAGACAAAGAAAGCATTGAGATATACCGTTTGTCAGGACTTCGCCTCGAACTATTCGTGAACATCACCGAGTACCTTCCAACAACGGAGGCAGCTGGTGTACGTCTCACTGTACATTCGTTTGAAGAACAGCCCTTTCCCGATACGCTAGGACATTCTGCTCCCACTGGATTTGTTAGCAGCTTTGGCATCAAAATGGTATATTTATGTTGTATAACGGATTTCTAGCTATTACTTTGTTTTTTTTTGATATATTGATATGTTTTCTCCCTCCTACAGAATTATATCACCTCATAGCATGTTATGTTGTCACCGATCTGTAATATGTTATAGTGAACACTCCACCCCAGACCAGAAGGGGATTGTTCTCTGTCTTTTAACACATTTGAACGTGAACTATGCTTGTATTAAGCTGTTTAGACCATTTTTGCTGTACAGCCACTTTATCCATCGATCTTCCTCATATGGGATCTCATACCGGTTAATGGCAGAGGCAACGTGGAGCGTCCCTCTCCAGATAGCGGATAGAGGGTTAATTGTAAACGAAAAGCGACCTTTTGCTTCTTGAGATGCAGGTGGGTCCAGTGAATGGATTCGCCACTTTTGCTGCGCCGATTTGCCACGAAGTTTACGAAGACGAACTCATACATGCGTACATGGGAATGTTCTTGTTTATGCGGGTTGTACTCTACAAGTCAATTCGGCCAAGACTGCAATCAAGTGGCCGGGCTGTATGTGAGAGGAAATTAGAAGTGGCCTCCAACAAAGAAGCTCACTGTTTATTCTGGGAGACACTGGCAAGCTGTCCATGACTGTGCTCAATCCCACGTTCAGAACTCACTAATCTATACGCGACCAGCAAACGTGAAACACAGTAAGTAAGTAAATAAGTGGATCTTATTCTCCTGACCCAGAAAGAGCACCGATACAGCAGCGTTGGGTAGAACGAGTACGGATAGGGTGCTAAAATCCAGCGCCATTCTAACGTGCCTAAATCGCAAAAGACTACGGTGACAATCTGTAACTAAAATGAACGCTCGTTTGCATCTGCGTTCTCGCTAGAAGGCTTAATCATTCAGGCAAGAAGGATAAGGTGCAATGTCAACGAACTGGCTGGTACGAGAAAGTGCCGCCCAATCAACACCGTCAATGATACCGGAGAAGAACTGATCCTCGGAGCATTCGACAATAGGGAAACCGGGGTATCAGCGTTTTAATCAACACGAATTTGCTCATGAGTATTGATTCATCCCGACAACTATGAACTCGAATTGCGCGAGCTGACGAGTTCTGGACAACACATCCGTTGACAACCTTTTTCGTCTACACACTGACATAAGGCTATGACGAAGGGGACGTCGAAGCATTTTATATGGACTCTACAGAGAAGACTATACATTTTTAATGCTATTCTTAGAGACTTTAACTCTAAGGTTTGACCCAGAAGAACGTCTGAGGAACCTCACATTGAGGCTCACGGATTAGAATGGAAAGAACGGGGTGAGCGACTGTCTGAGTTTGTTATTTATGACGACGAAGAGATTCGTGCTAACTCGCAAATTCAGAAGCCCCACTCCAAGCTAGATGAGAGAGTCTCCCAATGGACAGTGCCGAAACAAAACTGATCACATTATAGTAAATCGAATATTTTGCTTAGCCAATATCGCTGTTGTCCCAAAATTCCATACTGGATCAGAACATCGCCTCTTTCGTGCAAGATTTAATATCTCACAGAAAAACGAAGAAACTGCCAAATTCAGAAAAGATTTCCTAAACCATAATAAACTGAGCTTTATTCAGTTCATTACTTGGCTGTTTGGAAGATACCGTTTTTAATAACATCGACAAGGAATGCGATCGGCTCGTTCAACGTCTTCACGATAACATTATGGAAGCTAGAGTTAGAAAGTCACCAAGATACGTCTGTGTCGAGAAACACTCGATTTGGCACGCCAACGTGGAATTGCCGAGCTACAGGCAACCGCCGGCTTGCGTCAAAACTTGCAAAGGAATGTAGAGAGACGGTGAAAGAAGCTCTTAAAGAGATTAAAGGAGCAGTTATGGTCGAAGCTGCAGAGACTGGAAAGAGCATTGGTAACATCTATGGAAAAGCCGCTAATTCCCCGACGAAGATAGGTGTATTCTTAATTTCAGACGGAACAGTTACAACTTCCTGAAAGGTCGTGAAAAAAATCATATACAATTACTGCTTGAATTTCTTTAATAACCATGTCATCTTACCATCATATGAAATAAAAAAGAATAGGTATGTCGTCTCACCTGCTTTTTCTTCTGATCTCTGATATGCTGTTTCGTCGGTGAGGAATCGAAAACACGAGGTCTGGACAGGATAAGATCCGAACATCTGAAGAATCTCCCGCCAATCCTCAAAAGACACTGACTTGGCTTTTCAAGTTGCCTGTTAGAATGCAAGGTTCCTACTGACCAGCAAGATCGTGTTGTTGTTCAAGAAGAGTGACCTTCACGATATCGGCAACTATAGCCTAATCTGTTTGCTTTCTGTTGTCCACAAGCTTTTCACTGAAGTAATCCTAAACAGGATTGACAGATTACTAAGATCAACCGTGTGAGCAAGCAGGGTTTCGCAAAGGATTCAGTGCGATGGACTATATCGACACGATAAAAAGACTCAGTGAAGTATCGCGAGAGTACAAAAGACCACTCTGTCTCACTTTCATCGATTTAAAGCCTTCAACTCAGTTGAGATAAAAGCAGTCATGGAAGCCCTGGATAACCAGGGCGTTCCTACTTAGTCTATGAAGAATATTCATGAGCTTTGAAAAAATATCGCAACTAAAACACCATCATTCTAAAATGGTATTGATATAAACGTCAAAGTAGTTGTTGGGTGACATGATACCATCATGCCAAAATTGATTACCGCTACCTTCGAGAAGAGAACACCTTGCGAACATTGGAATGGGACAAAAGGGGAGTGAAAGTCGATGGTCGGCAACCACAGAATATTCGCTTTGCTGTTGTTTTTGTAACACCAACCATTATCCAAGCGAAATGAATGCCTAAGATGAACGACTTAGCTCTATAGTTGAGCATCAAGAAGCAAACAGCTTGGAGAACTTTCAAGAGTGTCGAGGATTTAGCAAAAAAGGCAAAGAACACCCGATTCCACGCCCACCTTTTTGACTACGCAATCGTTCCTGCATTAACATATGCGTCAGAAACTTGGTCGCTACTCAAGCAGGTTGCAAGGTCACTCAGCGTTATCGAACGCACAGTTGAAAGGACGATGGTAGGAGTATTCCGTTTTACACAAGTCAGGGAAAGGATCCGAAGTTCTGACCTACGTCAACGATCAAAAATCAGAGAAGCCGTTCTATATGCCAAACTGTCGAAGATAAAGTGGGCTTATTGTGCGCGAACGACAACCGATTTCCAAAAAACTTTAGTGACTGGATTCTTCGCGTTATCAAACGTGTTGCAGGAAGACCACTGATCCGATCGACAAGTTCTCCACGAGAACCTTAGGAGAAAAATACGATGTTTAACGTGTTCTTTAGAGCGAACAGAATCCATAGGGGTGCTATTGTAGGCGACAGGGAGAAATACAAAGTTTGCTGGCGCCCTCTTAAGTCACTCGACGTCAAACAGAACAACTGGTGAGGGAGGTGTGATATGGTACAGAATGCTCACTGAATCGGCCAATGCATCGAGTATATTAGTTAGTTAAGTGGAATATTGAATAAGACGATACAGGACCGAATGCATTAGTTAGTTCGAGATAGAATAATTAACCTCTTACGAATTGCTACGCAAGGCTTTTATGGTTCTCACTGAGAAGACTTCAAACTTGAGTAATCAATCCTCTGTGTAAATATAGCGGCACTAACAAGGTGTCGATAATAACAGTGTACGGTGTGTATATGGAGACCTATGAGTAGCTTAATAGATCCGTGATAGAAAAAGATAATTGTGTGCAGTTAAGAGTAATGTAGACTTTGATAGAGAAGAGCGGAATAAGCTGAAAATAGGATTGCGACCTCAGAATATGGGCCGAAGGAAAATGTCTTTGTAGTAGAGGTGACCATTATTAGAAGGGTTTTAACGGTGGAGCAGGTATTTACATACAAAGAGATCAGAAGCACTTTCCCAGATACAAACAAAAACATGAGCCAGATGTGATAGCGCACTCTATTGATACTCTAGACTATATAAACGTTGTTAGTTCGAGGTTTAAAACACAAGGAATTCTTTTTTGCTTTTACGTAACACCGTTTTTCGCCGAATAAAAGGCAATGAAAAAGGATTAAGGAATAGGCTCTCAACGCATTCGATTTCATCGAGTTTTATATCGACTTCTAGGTGATTGAATGCATGTCTAGCTTATACAATACCTCTTAATGGCCTACCGATGTTTCGAGTTAGCGTTGCTGTCTTCCCAAACAGATCTTGTACTACTTTAGCGGCTCCGGAAAAGTGGAAGGCATGGCAAGCCTGTGGCGCGGGATCGAACCCACGTGTATTGCTGGGCGCCTCTAACCACTGCTTCACACTCCCAAAAAATAAATGAGTAGAAATAAAAAACCACAGAAGTCCAAGTCTTCACCACCACGGGCAATCGCAGTCCTTGTGGATCAGAGGGAGATTGCAGTGCCGGCAGTGCCGAAACGTCAGTAGTGTTGTATTGTATTGCGTTTTTCTATGGAAGTAAATGTATGCTGTTTAAAAACCTCGCGATTGCTGAAAAAGAAAACGACGCATTCATATTCCAATGCCGAGGTTAATAGAAAGTCGATTCTGGAAACTTTTTATAACATTATTAATACTATATAGTGGGGTTGAACGATCACGATTATCTGTTTTTTTTTTTTATTTTCAACCCTACATGAATACCTGGACGATTTTTCTTCACGAAAAGTGTACAAGTCCAAGTGCATTTCTGATCCATCTGGGGTGTTAGTGCTGTGCGAACATATTTTTTCTGTGAGCTCTGGGAAAAGACATGCCACAGTGCTCTTAAACATCATTATAGCCGTCGACGTTTGTTGATAGGAGAGATGTTTGCCAATAGACTTCTTGAAGGATGGCGGAAATTTCAGCCGTTACTGTACTCAGTTGGAAACTTGTCTTACAGTGCCATTTATGGGATTACGTTGTTCAAAAGAATAGCTGAATTTTGCAGAAATCGATGTCCCGTCTTCCTCTACCTTACGGAGATTGCAACGATCGGGGAAAAGATGAGGATTTTATTTATGTTGATAAAAAGTACAACACCGAGGTAAGGATCAATGCATTTAAATTTTGAAGTATATTCCCAATAAAGTGCTTTTATTGTTATCGCTGAGGTGGTAAAGACAGTAGGCAAAAGAGAGACAATGACCCGTTTCATGAGGTATAGTTCTTCCCCAAAGCTCTTGGATCATTGACTTTAGGCGCTTGGGATTAGCGTCATCAACTTTACTTTTCCGTTCAACTATTCTTGTTCACCTGATGTTTCCTAGATGACTTTCACTCTATGGGTGAAATCCTGTAAACGAACACTTACGCACATTTCCTGTAAAGTCACTTGGGTGCGAAAGGTGTGCGAGCTGATTCGCGATTAGTTGTATACTTAAGATCTACGTAATCGAAGATTCAAAACATCCATATTACACAGTGATAACTTTTCTAAACAGTAGATAAAATACTCCATAATGAAAACAGAAGATGGATCTTCGAGATGTATTTAACGCAGTTCCCATCGTTGGAAAGAAACGTAGAAATTTTTAAATAGTGTAGATAACTGGTGATAAATTAAAGATTTTGATCTTTTCTGGCTTAAATAAAGCACAGTAATCGTTTTCACAAGGAGAAGAGAAAGTTGCAGTTCTTTCAGGGTTGTCAAAGAAGTTGCATCCAAAAACATTTGGCTACTACTTGTGGATGTGGAGATCCACGCTACCCACCTTTCCGCTCAACAAAGAACTGTCCTGTCGACGATCCCAGCAAACGTACGAAGTGGTTGTTTTCATTTATTTTAAACGCTGTAGAGCTTTTCTTTATGGAAATTTCGATACCATCATATTGTTTTAGAGGAAAAAATAGGAATCGAAATTGAGATTAATGGATAGTTTAGAGCTCCAAAAATTTCGATTTTGGTGGTTCCCGAAGCAAGCGGGTCATAACAATGTAGTAATTTATTTCAAAATCGATCTGTCAACTTTAGCTTACGCCTAATGGAACAGTTTTTTCCAGTTGAAAAGTTGCGTTTTCCATAAATCTTTGTCCTAAATATTAATAAGCACTGGACATAAAAGACACAGCTGAGTTTCGGTGGCACAGAGTAGAGATTCGAATGGTTTCGTGCAGAAGACATCAGTCTTTACGGTGGGGAAAGTTGCGAAAATCCATTTACAAGGACAATTTGAAACTTACAAAATCACTGATCGTATATCTCAGTTCAGTAGAAAAATGAGTGGCATATGGATTGACGAAAGTCATGGTCGTTTAGACTGCACTATAGGTGACTTGTACCACAAAAGCGATCTGATCACACTGCGATGGGAACTGAATCCTATGGTACAAATGGTATCGTTCTCTATAGATACAGAGCAGAGATGAAGCTTCTTAACAGTTTATATAACCGAATTTGAAGCACTTGGTAGTTTGTAGCTGGATCGATACAATGATTCTCTTTGAATCCTGACAAAGCAGTCACAAAGAGAAATACTATTATTATATCGATAAAATCCATTAGGGTTGGCAACATTTATATTCAGAATTAGTTAACGGAAGTTCTCATAAACAGGCACACTCTATCGTGTATTGCATAGCTAACGTGGAGGAAGTTGAACAAGTTAGGCTGAAAAATCCTGCCTATCCCTCCGAACTCCTGTTTGTATCACCTTTTCACAAGCATCTCAACAACTAAAAGCTAAGAAAACCATGAGCGACGAACGTGCTGTGGACATAATCAGCTGATGCGGTAGTATCCTCGAAGATTTCATCGCTTCCTGAAATTTGGAATTCTTTGTTTTCGAAATAAATATTGGTCATTATTGGGATTATGAGAACATTATGAGATCATGACCAATATTGGTTAGCATTGGTCATGATCCCATTAGCAAAAACGTGTAGAATCATTGTTTCCCGTTCTGATTAATAAAGTTGAATTGGGATGGAGTACGTGGGCCCTTCTTTTTGCAGCAACCTAATGAACCCATTCCAATTTAGTGGATGCGTGAGATGCCTTCCAACACAGACGTGCTCGGGGGCTTTATACCGCATGCCAGCCTAACCATACTGCGCATCCTTGCCGGCAAATTGGTACCGAACTTTTCTGGCAGAATAAAAACACTGACTTGATATAGCAGTAGGCTAGCTCAAGCACCTCTGCTATAGGCAAGGAAGTCGTGGCGCATCACTCGGCTACTGGTCACCGCCTAACTTATTGTCTTTTATATGTTGATGATTATGTTCTACTCTTTTTTGCCACATAAACAGAAAATAAGACATAGATTTAGATGTGTGTTTAAATGAAAAATACTAGAGATGTTAAGCAGTGAAGGTTAAATATTGCCTGATCAGACCTAATGGAAATTTTCAAGGAGAATGCCTCAAACGCGAATTTCAATACGCAATGCGCCATTCGAAAAAAATTGGATGTAGATGCAGACAACCATGCAGGTTCAGAGATTCCTTTCCGTTCCCTTTTTTTCTTTGTCTTCTTTAATACTGCTTTTCAGCCAGGATGTCTATTCGGTGTCTTATTCCGCTTCTCGTTGGCCAGCCCTTCCTGGCGATCTGTCCGGATGTCCTGCAGGAATGGCAGCTCATCATTGTTTGACGTACAAAAGGTTAGCTTTTGTGCTCGTCGACTCCTCAACAACGGGAAAATGTTCTATTAATAATGCCAAAAACCGAGAAATCAAACAAATGTTGGTTAACTTTTTGTCGATTCATTATACAACAAAAGACATTGTTGAACTTCATGCAGTCGGTATAAGCCTTCATATATGAGACTGTGCTATCCTTCCTTCAATGGATGAGTTGCTAAGCATTTTGGATGCTTATTTTTGAGTAGCGTTAGCATCGTTCCAGTCCTAGTGATGCATTGCGTAATTCGTCGTTTTTGAGTTGATATATTTATCTATATCATCTTATAAACTGATATTCTTAGGTTGGTGCGAGGTTGGTATAGGTCTTCGTTGTTGTTGTCGTTGTTGTTGTCGTTGCTATTTGGTGTTATTGGTCTGACGTTTCGGCGATTTCGGCTTCCTCAGAGCCGTGATGTTATGAGTGGGACTCCATTTCAGGCATCGACCAACAACAACAACAGCAACAAAAACAACGACAACGAAGACCTATACCAACCTCACACCGGCTTAAGAAGATCAGATCATAACAAATATATCAACCATCTATGCCGAGGTTTATAGAAAGTCGGTCTTTTGAGTTTTTGAGTTGCTAATCGGCTGGGCATAAGAAATTATGAACAATGAACGTTACCGTAGAACTTAAATTTGTTAACTCATGAAGTAGGTGTCCAGTTGAGCTGGCTTTGAATTACGATATAAGGCCGTTGTGACGTTGACTGACCTGCCGCGACGTGAGCTGGTTGCTCGACGTGAGCCAACATGGAAATTCTGTGCCGCTGGCGCGTCCTTTCAACCAGGCGTTACCCAATGCCCTACATCTTGCATTTATTCCCGTGAGACTCGAGCTAGAACAAATTCTCCATTCTTCCTCGTTTTGTATTACAGTTTTGTAGTTGGTTCTTTGCATCTTTTACTTTTCTTAGTATTTGCGAACTGTTCTTTGCACGTTTAACTGTGCTAGTAATAAATACCAGCTGCAGAAAAGCTTTGCAGGAAGATCAACACCGGTACAAGCAGAAGAAACCACTATGGGCAGCAGAGAAAAGAAGTAGTCTGAAAAAATGCCGTCGGGACTTGTGTGATTATAAAATTCCGCTGCCAGCCCTGATGAACGAGACTGGGATCATCAAAACTTTCCGCCACGATATGGAATTAATAGCAGAAACGTTCTTCACCAACATGTTCCTTTACACAATCCCCATTCCGGACTCTAATATCCTCGCTGCAAAAAAAAACCACCTGGAATTCTTCCGTCGGAGGTTCGAGTTGCGATAGAAAGTATGAAGAGAGACACACCTCAAGGACCCGATAATATTATCGCCGACCTCCTTACAGCTGGAAGCCACAATTTACATGTACTTCTTGCAAACCATATGGAAAAAAACTCAGAGCAGTAGACGACGTCGCGGTTATCCCGCCCAGGAGAGGTGATCGAAGGGATCTTCGCAATTATTGTCCGATATGCTTGTTGAACGCACTTTATAAGGCCTTCGAGAAGATTATCGTCTCGCATATATCAAGGATATTGGATGAGGCGCAACCAGTCGAGCAAGCAGGATTTCGACAAGGATTCTGCTGCATGAACCACATCCAAACTGTGTCCATGGTCATCGAACTCTGCTGGGAGTACCACCTGCCTCTGGTCCCAACCTTTGTCAACTATGGAAAACCGTTTAACAGTGTCGAAACGAGTGCAATCCTATCATCGCTCGTCGACCAAGAAATAGACCCGTCCTACATAAGATCTCTGTCTGACTGTTATCGGAACTGCACTACGAAAATACAGCTTTTCCAAGGGCGACACAATATCGCCAAAGCTGTTCAGGGCCGCACTGCAATGGATAATGAAGTCGTTGGGACAAGAAAGGCATATGTATTGGTGGAATATTTCTATCAAACCTTCGTTTTACCGACGACACCATCATCTTCTCAAGAAGTGTTAGCGAAACAGAGGTGATGATCAACGAGCCCAACGAAGCGAGAAAAAAGATTGGACTTTGAATAAATCGAAAGAAGACCCAGTTCATGAAAAACCCATGGTGCGAAAGCGAAAAAATTGAATTGGATGGCTCTCTCATTGCAGAGGCCACCTCGTACCTTGGGCGATCAATGAACATGGAAAATAACCTGAAAGAGGAACTAAATAGAAGAAGGAGAGCAGCTTGGGCCGCATTCGGGCCTCTCAACGAAGCAACCGACCAACTGAAGGACCCGAAAATCCGCGCTTATCTCTTTGATTCTGCGGTCCTCCCAGCACTCTGTTATACTGCAGAGACGTGAGTTGATACTTCAACCACGTCAAGAATACCTTGCACAACTCATAGAGCGCTGGAGCGCTGTCTTCTGAAATATAACTGGCACTTTCAATGTCTAGCCGGTATACGAAACTCTGATCTTCGAAATCTGTCAGATCTTCGAGATCCAGGGGAATATATGTCAATAGCGAGACATAGATGGGCCGCTCACATTATGAGAAGAACAGACGACAGTTGGACGAAGAGAACTGTACAGTGGACTTCACAGAAATTCAAACGTCCCTTAGGACAGCCACCTATACGTTGGGTGGACGTGTTCGTGAACAAAGTTGATCAGCTGTACTCGCAGCTGCAGTTGTTTTACAGAACACGGTATGAGACTGGCACGCGCCAGCATGCTGGAACAAAACCACCACCGTGGTCGACGATTACTAAGGAAAGAAACGAATGGCAAATGTGTTGCGCACAACTCGTGGAGAAGGACAATCCAGGTATTTAAGTATTTACAGTGCAGTGCTAGTTTATTATACCGACTTCCACTCTTAACCTCGGCATAAATAATCAATAAACTTTTGGATTGTTCAGCTTACAAACAGGTTGTTGTACAACTTCTATTCAGCTAGCGCTTCGACGTCGTCTTCCTCAGAGCCGAGGATTCGGGTCGATGTCCACAGTCGTTCATCTTTGAAGAAGATTCAACTCGACACAACGATGAAGGCTGCGGACCATCTCCTTGAATCATCGGCTCTGAGGAGCACGGATACGTCGAACCACTAGGCGAACAAAACTTGTGGAACAATCTCGTGTAAGCTGGACATTCCAACGATATTTATTGATTGTTAATTGCGGTCTTCAGAGAATCACGAACCTTATCTATTCATGTGAAGAATACGGAGCCGATTAGCTGCAGGGAAACGTGGCTACTCACTGGATGGCGGACTGATTGAACACAGACCATAGGCTGCTTCTAACTTATATGTGCAAGATGCATTTACTTAACCGGCTCCCTTTCTCTACTTCATATAACTGACCTATGAGTTTTGTATGTACTGGAGAATCTATCTCAACAAATAACAACAAAACAACAAATAAGCTCCAATTTTACTGCGAGATTTCGAAAACGCCCAGCACCAACGGCAGAGCTCTCATGAACTGATATTCTTCTGCCGAAACAATTGAAACAAGCCCCATATTTTATCCACTTCGAGAAAAGCCCATCGAGAGTGGTGTTTGTGAACAATAACGAAAAATGAGCCAGGAAAAGACTTCACACAGGTCGACGACTGAAGTGTATTACTGGTATTTTGCGGAGATTTAAAATTGATAGCAGTACATCTACTTAGAACTTGCAGTTCCTTTGCCAAATTCGCTATCTCTCACTGCTGTCCATTCGAACCACGTATTCTAGGGAACAAGGCGCCATGGTTGAAGTGTACTTCGAACAGCTCAACTACGAATCACTGCTCGAGAGTGAAGCATACGGGGTGAGTACTTCATGAACATCCATACTCCCACGACCAACATACGACTCTACCGGCGGAGTCCTCGCCGTTCATTCGTTTTTCATACTCTAATTAAGGTTTCAAGTAGGATTTTCGGCACGTAACATTAAAAATCTGACCTCCTCTTGTGTTCTTGTCTGCTGTTCCACTCGTTGTAATCAATATGCTACATTTAAATTGTCTGATGTTCTACTAATTAATGATGTTTTCAGTTGCCGAATCTGCTGTCAGACTTCGGCGGACAACTCGGCTTATGGATGGGCGTTAGTGTTATAACAATTATGGAGGTAAATGATACCACCAATACTAGGCTATGAAGCTTTTGATGTGTTTTGTTTTTGCAAATGTTTGATTTCTTTTAACATGAAATCGAGACCGTAGTCCTGATGTTAAAATAGTCCGTTTTGTGTCTGCCAGCAACTGTTAAAAGGATAAAGCTTGACTCGCGGTGGGCTACCGATGTATCGAGGCAGTGTTATATCCTCCCATAAAAATCTGGTGCCAATTTTCCGACCCCGGAGGGGATGGATGGCTTGGTGGGCCATGGCACGGAGATCGATTCCACGTGTGTGTTGCAGGGCGCCTCTGACCGCTGTGTCACATGCGCCCCAGCAACTGTTATACAGTAATAATGACATATTTCATCGTGATATGGTACAAAACTGGTTATCATTAGTTTCGCATGCCACTTGTTATCGCACGGCAATGTGTTGAAGTATAAGTAGTGGTGGTGGTGGGTCAAAACTTCAAGAAAGTGCGCCAGTAGTGCGCCTAACATTTTATTTACTGCATATAATTTCTTCACGGCAGGGTATTATGTGAAATATAGCTACAGTGATGTTGAGATATTTGCAAAACGCAGACCCTGGGCCGGTTTCTGTTTCTAATCTGACCAGTAGAGTGTTGGTAGGAGGTTGATCGCAATTCAATTCTGGGTTGGTTTCTTCATTGTTTGGTATATAGAAAAATCATTGAGAACAATAATTTGAACAGCTTACTCCCATTTTCTGTCGGTAATCCGGCATCTGTTTCTGTACTTCTCTGCAAAATCCTTTCAATATATAGTTGCTCAAATGGAGATATTGCTGTCTGTGATATGTATCACAGCGCCTTTCGAATAGATACAGTTTCATAGATATCCATAAAAATTAATGTTCTCGTATGTTCAATATGACGAACTTCAGGGATAGTAATGGTTTGTAATTTTCATTATTGAGGTGTTTATTCTGGTGTTCGACGTCGTGCTTACTATCTTTGGCCTGACGAAGAGCAAAAGGAGGACGTTTTCGATGAGGAGGAGTGTTCGAGCGTCAAAGGGCTACAATGCGGCAACTACAGCACGCTGAGGTTCCACTATCGTCGTATAAGTCGATGAAAAACAACGCTCAGACTGTGATTCATTAACCATTTCTTCAAGAATTTTGCCTAAAAATTTTCACAACGATCTCATCTTGATGCTAAATTATGTGCGCTATGTGATTCATATCCCTAAAATATTACCAATAAAATTTTGAATTTCTTGGAGTAGTTTTGGGTACTTCGCTGATCATTTACTTGTGGTGAAGACCTGCAAATCTCTCTAATGGACAGATGAGTGAGTTAGAAAAGAGCAAAACATCCCTAAGCACTCGAACACATACATGCAAACACAAATCTGAACAGATACGCATCGACACGCACACACCGCACACATACAAACACACACACAGACACACACACGCACACACACACACACACACACACACACAGGCACGCACGCACGCACGCGCAAATTCAAACCAGTAGAAAAGTGCATGGCCCACACAACATATGAGAACGGGCTCTTAAATATCGAAAGTTCTAAGGTAGGCAGCGATCGGATGTACCACTTGTCGTTCCTTTGATTGTCGAGTGGCTCGAGCGGACGCTAGTAAATTTTCCATTTCCTACGTGCAGATACGAGTAGTACAGTGAATTCTGCTTGTCCTAGGGACTTGTAGAGCATTATATCCCTTTTCTAAGGTTTTTGCGAACAATCGTGACTGTAGGCTGGATTTAACAGCCAGAAAAATCCAATCTCCACTGGTTTCGGCTCATCGGCTGTCATTCAGGTGCACTACGTGTCCGGCCCACTTAATTTTCGATATCTTAGTGTGTATAACGTTGTCCCTGGTTTTTCGTGGCTGACTTAGGTCCAATGTTCGGATTCTCTAACTCAGTAGCGTGAAAAAAGATGATCCCATTATCATTTTCTCGATCACGTGTTTTGACAACGCTGTGATCTTTCATGCCACTTACGCAGCGATTAGGTTTCTTACACATACGTTGAGGCTGTAAGAATCGTGGAGTTGATGAGGTGGCCGCGGAGTCGGGTGTTCTTTGTTCTCTCCACTACGTCCTCGATGCTCTCGTAAGAACCTCAAGCCGCTTGCCTCCTGCTCTACTTCCCAAACACCGTTTTTCTGAGATTTGGTCGAAGACCTATGTTTCTAGGAGCTTTGTCAAAGTCCGCTAACATTAGTACCCCTTTACTAACGCTTAGTGTTATGAGAATGATGTCATCAACAAAGCGAAGATGCTGTAACTGCCAACCGTTAACTTTTACTCTGATGCGTACTTGATTCTGAAGAAACTCACTGATATTTGGAATTATTCCTTATGATACTTACAACGAGTTATTTGATATGTGGAGTGCACAAAATAATTGTAGCTCTGTCACCTTACTTCGACTAAAACTGGCCTTCATCGTCCAGATCATGTCACGTTAGAGTTTTGATGATATTCGGTAGAAATGTTTTCAAATAACTTTATATCATACAAAACAACACGACAAATCGCCAACAAATACGAAGCACACGTTGAAAGGCACATGAGGACATAAAATAGTGGGAGGGTCGAAAAGAATGAATATTGGTGTTGGCAAATCCACTAGTGTGGCAGACTTTGGCGATGGAACACACATATACAAGTACGAGCTGCTCATATAGAAAACGGCGAACATGGATTAGGAGCAACATCGGAGAGAGCTCAGTGCTGCGCGACAACATGGATCGGCGGGGGTCCGCTAGGACCAGTAGATGAANTTGGCGATGGAACACACATATACAAGTACGAGCTGCTCATATAGAAAACGGCGAACATGGATTAGGAGCAACATCGGAGAGAGCTCAGTGCTGCGCGACAACATGGATCGGCGGGGTTCCGCTAGGACCAGTAGATGAACTGCTTACAGTAAATATGCAACGCAAAGATACATCGTAACACTAGCAAAGAGCCGCAAGGAGCTGATGGCAGACAAAAGTAATGGTATTCCAGAGGCGCCAACATAAAAGAAAGTCAATAAAATCATTTTTGTACTAAAAAAGCGGACTTATGTTATGCCTCAATATGGATATCATGGCGAACGACAAACACAGCCGCTCCATGTCATTTACGTAGTACTGACAATACGTCCAAAATGATCCATTGACGTTATACAGTTCCCGTCAGACACCACCATTCCCGATCGAGAGACGTGTACACGCTTGACACCTCGCTTCACGTACGCTTTTTCGTTTTCCTAAAGCTTTTGTTCATTTAGTGATTCAGCTGTATTTCAACAATCCACTGTTCCAAAGCGTTGAGTTGGTCTTAATTCAACGTCTTATGAAGTCGAGGAGTTCGCCGCGGCCTCGCCATTGTGTTGCTAAAGCAACATGGAGACATCTGCTTATCTATGGTGACATTAAGCACTACATTGAAAATATTTATCACATGAAATTAAGGAGAATAAACAAAATAGCCATATACCGTTAAAGTACATTAATTCTTAGTACAAAGCCGTAAGTAGAATTTTGCTTTAATGGAACATAAAGTGCAGAGGTATGGGAAAAGAACTGTGACCACTAACCTGAACTCCCATGTCGATGTGGGAACTGCGCACATGCATCGAACCCACAGAAGGACTGCACTGAATTACGCGCGGACGAGCATCAACGGAAATGTCACCATTTCGAGTCTGGCGCACCGCCATACCTACGGGCGATACTGTTATCTTTACTCTCGAGCAAAGAATCCACTTATGAACGGTACAACACTGAATTGTTCAACAACTGGCCCGCGTACATAATTGTGCTAAACTACTTAGCAGTCATAAAATTACTTGAATAAATAGAACAGAAAAGTGGTCACAAGTCTTCAAGGGACTGCTGACCACCTAAAGAGCATGCAAGTTGATGAACCCATAAAAATACTCTCGCTTTTGTTTTCCTGATAAAGAATAAAGCTCTCGGAGTTGCTCAATCCACGAGGGATGCGCCAAGTATTCGACTTCATTAAGCCCGTTGGAGGTGATTGAATGCATATCTGGCTTTTACAATGACTCGTGGTGGTCTACTGATGTATCGAGCCAGTGGTGTTATCCTCTTGGACAAGTCTGGAACCAATTCGCCGACTCTGGAAGGATGGAGGGCTTAGTGGGTCTGGGTGGGGACCCGGGATCGATCCCATGTGTACTGCAGCGCGCCTCCGACCACGGCATTACATGCGCCTCGTTGTTTTCTTGAATATTTTTCAAATAATTGCTTTCAGCTGACATTGTTGTTTTCGTCGACAGGTAACATCCAAATAGAAGTGGGTAGGTTTCGTTTCACCTATAAATGAAAATATTCTTTCAGCACTACTTATACACTCAAGCTTCTCGCACAAAATATTTCCCAGGTATTGTCATAACATATCCTTTATGCATTCCCGATTGGTGAATGTGAAGGATTTGAGTACTAATGTCGACAACTGGATAAAGTCTCTGTTGCAATTGCCTTCTAGACAAAAGCATTGAGTAGGCTGTGAAACGGAGTTCAGCATGTCGATTTTGTGTCCCGGTATTTCTTTTAGTACTTTAGTATGAAAAAAGCATAAAAAGGAAATGAAATAACAGTGACGTACCGTTAATATGCATGATGAGGGTACCGTCGGGTTTACGATCATACGAAGCGTCATGCACAATCTGCTTCGACGCCATTGCGTACTGAAGTTATGCCAATGAAGTATATTTGGTAAATTTTAGAATATTTTTATTGTTTTTTCTAAATATTCAATATCAACTTGTCTTATGTCTTTTAGAACTCGTTAAGATAGGCGCTTAAAAAGATCGAACTGCTACAGAACTCGCATACAAGTAAACCACTTACCTGGGTGCCAGTTTGCGCCTCATGATAGAACAGTCGAAGTGAGAAATCGCTCTCAAGGTGTCCAGATGAAAAATCGAGCGTTTCTAGCGAGACTGCCGAAGGCCCTAAAATTAATTATTGGCACGGTTTGCTTCTGACGACATTCTACAGAAACTCACACTAGATTACCTCTTGCTTGCTTAATTACATATTTCAATCACTTACTTTTAAGAGGAATCGTATAAGTTCCTGCAGCGCTGCATTTAAGTGTTGCGTTGTTGACTTGCCAATACTTTGCACTAGGCGCCTAGTACAACGGTAGGATCATAGGCAGTCGCTGACCTCTATGGATCCGTGGAGAAGGTTTGTCGGGTTAGCAGTAAGCCTTTTTTATGAGCGGCAACTACCGTTGCTCGTTTGCAAACAACGGGGTATTCGGGCATAAATTTCGAGCTCAAACTTGGGTACCATATTGAGAACCCTCTGTTCTGTATTCCATTTCGACAGCCAGGAACATTGACTCGTGAAGAGTACTTATTAAATCATCAAAGGAGGGAACCTGATTGGTGCGAATTAAGAAAAGTGGATACAAGATAACTTTAAGCAGAAAAAAACTAGATTCTAAGAATGTAGAAATCATTCCATAGGTCCACAGTTTTAGCCACTGAGCAAGAAATGACTGAATTGATTGAAAACGCAAGCTGAAATAAACCTTTAATATGGCTCGACACCAAAAAGGCTTCGTTGAGATGACTCATTGAAAACAAAATTCCTTCGTTACCGATGACAGCGAGACGATCATTTGAAGAAGCTAAATATTGCTAGCAATAAATGATTACTGACTAGGTACAAAAATTTTTTCTGTACAAATTATCTGCTTTCGCATTAATCAATGAATGACAAGTGCAGGCTTTTAAGTGCTTCATTAACGTTCTTAGATGGTTCGATGGAATACGTAGACGGAGATAAAAGTATAGCGACTAAATAACTAAGCCAGTAAAATTACTGAAGTTTACAAATGCATAAACAACAGTACTTTACGTTGCAAAAAGAGTCACTGATATAATTGCATGTGGAACGTACAAAATTTCGTGTAGACCATGTCACGAGTGTGTAGCATTCTTGCCTTCTTGTGCAGGATACATGAAGCTGTTCCACGTCCACTGACAAATGCCTTAATCATGAGCTCATAGATAACAAGTAGTGGTGGTGATATTAATTCAGATCAGAAGGCCCTTTTTCAGACAGGTCGAGGTGAGAATTTTGCCCAGTGTACCAGCGCTTAGGTCCAGCTACTGGTTACGGAAGCTAGAAATATTCTTCCACGACGTTAACCTAGAGAAAGGTGCATACAATGGTCTTCGAAGATGAAATCCATGTACAGGTAAGAGTAGCTCAGCGAAGGTGGTTAAAAAAGTACTGATCAGAGCGAAGTCTTAAGTAAGTTGAACAACGGCTTACTTTCCCACAATACCATTGAAACACTTACGGCAAATTGTCCGTGACATACGACACGAACGCAGCGATCTATCGACATTTCAATAATAATGGCATGTGTAAGAATGACGGAGATAGAACCGGTTTCGGAGACGTAGATGAGCGGATAGGTGACGCGACCGTTCTGAAATGCACGGATAGAAGCCGAATGAACGAGAGGACGCCGGCCAATAGCACGCAACGCATACCGTACCTCGGCGCGAAGGATGCGCAGAAGGGCCGACGAGCGAGGATCACTGGCAGGCATGACCGCTGAGAATCTCTGACGGTCCCGACGCGACGATTCGCATCTAGCTGAAAGTCTCAGTTACATTGGCGATATGGTCGCATTCTATTCAAATTGGGATTTTGCCCATAGATCTCAAGGTCTTCCATACTAAGAAACTCATCTTTATAAGTAGTATTGATCAACGAAGAAAGATTTTTACTAGCCTTAAACTATTGGGTTAAGGATTATGAGAAGGGTCCCGCAGTGAGAATAACGGCGAGATACTCATAGCTGTTTGAGCTAGTTAACTCATAATCTACCCTTCGTACCAACACTTTTACAGGATTTAGAATTGTTCCTATGAGCAGACATTCTTTGAAGGGAAGAAGAATATGCTGAACTCCAGTTTTGCTTCACTACCTGCTTGAGTTACTTGTCTAATATTGAATTGTTTTCAAATACTTTAACTCAATGACAATTATTAGAAAGAAATGACCCTCGAGAAGGTAGTTCACCCTGGAGCTTACTTCGTAAAATCCAAGCAAGTCGCAGAAAGTAGTAAACGATGACCCGAAATAAAGATTTTTCTTTGGCTGACATTTTCAAAGTGTTAGAGTTGCTTACACGATTCTTCCGAAGATTGCTGGGTTCTGCGAACATCCCCTGAGTCGTAATTCTCCTTTCCGTCTTGAGCCGTTTGTTCACCTCCTGAAGCTTCCACATCGCGATTCTGTTGTGGGCTCGAGCCCTCGCAACTGGACGGCATTGACGTGGGACTTTTGGCGCGGCGTCTCACGCCGCCACAGCTTTCGCCCAACCCACTGGCCGCAGTAGTTCGGCCGCCGTTCTTACCGCCGAGAAGAGGAATCGAGCGAGCTGAAAAAAACCGAATGATATGGAATAGATATGCCATTTTGGTTAACCTCTTAAGAGGCATTCAATTTTTTGGTAATGTAGGAAAACTATTCAAAGACAACTTTAATGTACTATTTGCCGCCTACTCTTTTTTAATGGTAGGGTATACATTGCGAAATATCTCAGCATCACTGAAGTTATATTCAAAGACAGATAGCCTCTTTTTAATGAAGCATCACTGAAGATTTTTCCGGGAACATCTTTCCTTCAAATCCATAGTTCTCAGCTGTCAAATTTGCTTTAGACTTCTTATATTAAGAAACATCAACTGATTCCCAAATGTTGAGAGCAAAACAGATGATGGTATATTGGTCCTCGTTGTAAGACCCTCGTGCTACTGAGCTCTAAAATGCGAAACAAATAACCGTATGGACGGTACGGTCGCTTCGTTTGTATTTTCATGGTAGTTAATCAGACATATAGTGTGTAAGTTTGTTGTATTACAGATTACCTCGAGCACACATCAGTAAAATCTCTACTCATCTTTTTTGCTTACGAGAGCAAGTCTACACGCTTTGCTGACTGAACGGAGACAAAGAGCCTCATATCTTTGTATCCCATAAGTTGTTCTCTGATTCATCCGCCGGGATTAGATGCGGTTATGAGTAAGGTGCAGACTATCCCACAGCATACATGTAACTTAGCTTTTTAAAGACTATTTTGATTTACTACTATATTTGATGGTACTCTTTGGAAGTTAATATTACAATAAACTTAAGAAGTTGAAAACACGAAAAGTGAACTCACGTGTGAACATAGTTCCTTGAGGTTCATAATATTCGCCAGGAAACGGTGGACCCGTTGAAATTTGAACACCCGTACTGAAAGCGGTAAGGATAAATAAAGGCATCTCGAACTAGTCATTACATCAAATGACTTACGGAGTCGCCAGCCCGTACATTCTTCCCATGTATGGTGGTGGCGCCTGTGCAAAACGTCCAGAATTCACAACTCTTCCACGTGATTGGTACTGCAACATGATTGCCAAGGAAATAAAAATATGAAGTTGTTCTTAACAATGCCTACAACACTCTATTTTCATTCTTGTCTAGTTTTAGTCAAAAAGGCTTTAATCTAATGAACGAAATCTGACTAGCGATATCTAGAAGCCACTGCTTTGAAAGCCGTATTTTCACATCCATTAATATTATATTGATACATGTTACTATATCATACAACCTAGCTGCAAGGAATTCAAGCAAAAAAATCGCGCTAACAAAAGAAAAAAATATATATATGTGTATATACATGTGTATATATATTGACAAGGCGTCTCTCACATACTCACTAATATTTGTCGCACGCGAATCCAATCAATACCTATGTTTTGAAAAGACTGTCACACAAATGACGAGACAAGTAACGATGAACATCGTCCTGTGTGCACCAACGCATTATAGTGTAAACGCAGCACAACGTACACTTTACTTTATTTGAATTCATAAATTCAAGTGCTTATGATATCTGTCGATTAAAAGCAGCTTGAATTTCTGTGACTATTGCGCCCGACGGCTCAATTAAACTTGTTAATCTTCACGAGGGGTTTCAGTTGCGGCCCTTTCCGCACCATTTCCCCTATTCCTATGCCTTTTATCATAAGAGCTCAGTTATTCTAATATGTGAACGGTCGTAGCCTTCGCTTTAAGTGAGAAATTTTCAAAATTCCTGGGACCAACGCCGCTGTTCAAGAGCGAATCTCTCCATCCTTATGGCACAGTGCCAACATATTAACATACTCGACCACTTATAAACTAAAACTTGTGGCATAACGCTATGAGAGCGAAACTAAATAGATGCCATAATGAGATCGACATCCGCTTACGGTTCTCTGTAAGCCCAACACTATTGGCACCAAACACCTACTTGCTTCATGCGATTACCACGAGGGCCAAAATTGTACATTGATGTGCGGCTAGCACCACTGCTGGAGCTGGTGTTAGCCTTCTTGAAGTGCCGATTGCTGCCGTTTTCGTCCGTCTTTTCTTCAGATGTACGCTGACTAGGAGGGCTAATTAGATCCAGCGTGTTCTCCATTACGCTTACCTGCAAAACGTAGATTTTATACTCTCGAGATCGATTAGGGCAGGACTTATGCTATAATAGTCCTAATATGACAACGATCCACATTACCTACCGCGTAAGGACCAATATATGACAGAAAATAATGAGTAATTCATGAGTGTTAGTACTTCTCCCATTCATCACTAGTATAATAGAGAATAAAAGGATAAAGCTCTGAGCGTTGATATATATA